GGGAGGAGACGCACCTGTCGGCCGCCTCCTGGAGCCGCAGCCGGCGCTCCTCCCTCTTCCTCCGCAGCTGTGCCAGCAGGGTCAAGGCTGTGTCTGTCCTGAGGACCCCCATCGGGAGGTGAGGCCAGGTGGGGCGGGGCGGGGCAGCGGGGCCTGAGGGCGGGTGCTCACTCAGGGAAGGGAGCAAGCCCTAGCTGACCTGAAGGATGGGGAGGAGCCCGTGGGTGCTAAGAGGAACAGAACGCCCGACCGTGTGAAGGCCAGGAAGGCAGGAGCCGCCCCTCCAGGGCAGTCTCTCTGAGGCTGGAAGAGTTCTGTCCCACACTCCGACCCTGGCACCTTCACTTCCCCCCTCCCCGCCTCCTTCAGCCAGGACACCAGGGAAGGACAGAAAGGATACGGTCTCCTCCCGGGCTTTGGCGATCACAAGGTTCTCCATCACCTGCCGCTGCAGGGACAGGGTCTAGGAAGGGAAGGAGAAAATAAAGCCTGTTCCTCTTCCACCGGCCACCCAGACCCTCCCTGGGACCCGCTCACCAGGGAGGTCTTCTGCAGGGCCTGGCTGGGGTCCAGACGGGCCATCCGGGCCTCGTAGGCGGCCTTCAGCTTCTGGTTCTGCAGAGAGGCTTCCTGCAGGGGCGTCAGCTCCCTGCAGACAGAGACAGAGCTGCTGTGCTGTCCAGGCCCCAGCAAGCCCTGGAGTGCCCCCCTGACTGTGCTCTGAGACCAGAAGGAGGCGGTGATGGGGGCAGACAGGAAATGGGAAGGAGGGAGGAGGTGCAGGGTGGGCTGGAGACCTCTGTCCTGCTGAAACCCGGGCCTGCAGTCGCCAGGCCGCCTGCGTTTTCAAGAAAAGCGGCACACTGCGCTTTCCGCATCCACACGTTGGGCAACAACACGGAACTTTTTAGGGGCCTCATGTGAGCCAAACAGCTAGATAACTTTGCCACCCGCGGGAGAGAGAACCAAAGCCTGCTTATTAGAAATAGCTGCCGAGGGCCAACCTCCGTGCCCCCACCCAAACTGCTGGTGTCACATGTCTTCACGCTTCTGTGGTAGGAGAGGGTAAGCTGTGAGGATGCCAACTGGCAAGGGAAAATGTGTCCCGGGGTGGGAGTCCCGTGGGGAGTCCCGCCCCGCGATGGCACATGCAGAAATGAGGTAGCAGTGGCCCCCGAGGCCTGGCAGCAGCAGCGCCAGGAGGAGTCAGCCTTGTTCATCCTCCCGGGGGTTCTTCTGTCTGTGTCTAAGTGAGTTTTATCAGTTCCAGAAGCTTATGTACTGTTATCTCTTCAAATAATGCCTCTCTTCCTCTTTCTTTCTTCTCTTTTTCTGGAACTCCAATAATCTCGTGTCAGATCTCCTAGCTCTGTCTCAGATTTCGTCGTCTTTCCTCCCCCTATGAGAGTCATTCTGGATATCTTTTGGTCTTTCAACCAGTTCGCTCATTCTTTCTTCAACTACATCTACTCTGTTGGTACGATATTGACCACGTGTGTCTGTGTGCATGTGTGTGTTTTCACCGGAGAATATAATTTGTTACTATTTCCAATTCGTTTTTGAAAACAATTTTGGCATTACATTTTCTATTTCCTTTCAACGTGGTTTTTTATTTGCTGGGTTATACTCTCTGGCCTTTTGCTGCCTGTAGCTATTTTCAAATTTGCTTTTCACTTTTGTAACTGAGGACAACATGACTGTGTTGTGATGTGTGTCTGGTAACTTCCCCTGAACACCTGGCAAGTCTGTGTCTGCTATTACTCCGTAAATTTCTGGTTTCTTTTTTGTGCTTGGTTATCTCTCGCTGTGCATCATTTGTGCATGCTGAAGATGCTTTTGTCCAAAGGGGATCTGCATCTGTTTTTGCCAAGCGCAAGGGTATTTCCATTCTGGGACCCACTTTAACTGAATTCATTGTGGTTAGCTCACTTGGCCTGGACTTCAAACCCAGGCTCGGCCCGCCTTCCGTTTTGCCCCAGCTTACTTCTTAGAACTTTGTGACTCTACCACTTGAAGCTTCTGGAAGATCTCGGGCGGCAGAAAGGGAGAGAGTTTCCCCCCTTCATCTGAGTACACCCGGCGATGTCGGCTGGTCGGTGAGGGGACAGGAGCAGCCGTGGGCATGGCTGGCTTCAGGTATGTTTTCCCTGCAACGCATACATGAGCAAGGCTCAGCATGGAATCCGACGTTCCAGAGACACAGACTTTGGGGGAGATGCCCCAGGAAAACTTGCCAGAGACCCACCGAGCTTGGCAGCTGTTGACTGGGCCCTCTCCAGACACTGCTCGGCCAGCTTCAGCATCTTTGAGGTGTCCGGGGCCACAGTTTCCCCACCTTCTGGGGATAAAGAGAAAAGAGAGCTGGTCACCGTCACCTTTATTATTAAACCGATTCTTGCCGAGACAAAAACAAGGACAAATTCACCCCCTCCTCATCTCTCCCTCCCGGGTCGCCACCCTCTCCTCATCTCCGACCTCTAGGCGGTCCCATCTCCTCATTTCTGATCACCTGCTCTGGGCTTATTTACCTCCTGACGCTATGTGGGCGCTGAGCTTGGCCAGCCCAGCAGCTGACTGTCCTGTCATCTCAGCTGGACCATCAGAGCCCTCTCTCTACCTAACCCGGCCTTTGCTTGTACTTACAGCCCCCCCTCAGGGTGGGCCTTGCAGTGGACGAGGACCATTTCAGGGACAACTTTATTGCCTATCTCCTGCCCTCTGGCTGTGCTTGACCTTACCCCTGGCACATCCCTGGGGCTTCTGTCCGGCATTCCCTCTTCTGGGGACCACTCATGTTGGCAGGTGCATGCTGTAGGAGCTGCTACTCAAAACTCTTCCCTGGACCCCACCAGCCTTAGTTTCTGAGCCACTTACTGCCCCCTTTAGAGCCAGCCCCTCAGCACACTCCATTTTAGCCACCTGACTCCCACTGAGACCACCCTCGCTCATGCCCTCCCGTCCAGCCCTTCTCCGAGGCCTCCCCAACCTCTCCAGGTGTCTCTCTTCCAGAACATCCCCCTGGGCGTACTACTGTGTCTCCCCCGCCCAGTCCCCAACGTTGGGAGTGCCCAGAGCTCTGCTAAGCTCACTGGCTCTCTGGGGCAGCTCTGATTCTGGTGACTCCGACCTCTCCCTAACCACTGTGCTCCTGTATCGTCAGGGTGCTCAGTGCCTCAAACAGAAGGTGCTCACGATGGAGCTCTCTATTCTGCCCATACAAGTCTGCTCCCGCCCATCCCCACAGCACCTCCTGTACCTCACTGTTGCCCTCCAGCGGCTCACTGTTCCCTCCAGGGGCTCACTGTCTCCACCCCCTGCCCCACCAACCAGCGGCTCACCCAGCAAATCTGTGAGGTCCACCTTGAAAGCACGACCCCAGGCCCTTCACTCCTTCCATCCCCAAGTGGTCCCACCACTGCTGTCCTCACTGTGGGAGCCTCCTGGAGGCTCTGCCTCCGTGCCGGCCTCTCCCACAAAGCCTCTACGAGCTTCCTTACACCGGAACAACACAGCTCCACGCAAGGCCATGCCTGCCCCCACTGAACCTCCTCTTCCCTGTACTCAGCCCCCACTCTCATCTCAGAGTCTTTACACATCCCTCTGCTGGGGGTGTTGCCCCAGGGCCCTGACCTTCACGCAGCTCACTCCTTCCTGCGCTGGGGCTCAGTGTCCAATCTCCGGTTTTGCCCCATCCCATTTACATCCTCTTACAACACCCATCCCCGCCTGCTCCCACAACACACTATGACAGCTCGTGCTTGCGGAGGGCTCACCAGTTCACTTTCTGCTAACGACCAATGGGTAGGACACAGGACAACCCCAGGCTTAAGACCCACCAAGAGCTAAGCAGTCCATAATTTGTTCAGCGTGGGAGAAGCAGTGAGGCTGAGATCTGTACCTTTGGTTGTCTCCACTTCTTCCAACAGCACCTGGGAGATATAGTGGATGCTCCTCAGGTATTCCGTATATGCCTCCTGTGCCCAGGGAAGAGAAATGGCAGGGGTCAGGCCAGTAGTGGCCAACAATTCCGTCATGCCTGTTTATGCCCTTGTGGGAAACATAGAAACAGTGGTGTTTGCTGATCTCCTGAGATTCACCTGAGGCACCTAACCCGAGGTAGTTAGCTGGTAATTCCTCCGGGTCTAATCAGTAATGTTCTGCACTGTATCTGTACCGATGGTATCCCTCTTCTCTAGACTCGAAGGGAAAACATGCCCAGCTGGGCACCCATCCCTCCTCTCACTGCCTTTCTCTCCAGCACAGGAAGAAAAGAGATTCTCTTTCAGCGGTCCAGGAGAAGTAGTTGACAGCAGTTGCTGTCATTTGTCACTCTGTGCAATGAGTTTCCTTCCTGTGCAACTCAGGGCCTATTTATCCAGTGGCTTAAAAGAATAAAAAATCCTCAGAGGTAAATGAGGGAGTGCTGTTGCTGATCTTGAAATCACTTTCTGGCTTAGGTTCTGGGAAATCCCCTTCCCGAATCCCTGAATATGTACTCCGCGGGCACACAGCAATCTGCAACACTAGAATACTGCCAGTTTCAAGGGTGTGACCAGGTTCAGGGCACGGGCATTTGGAAGCACCACATGATGTTTTGTTGCATCTCAGTTCTCAAATTAACTATCTTTAAATCTACACCTCAGGATAAAATGGATTCCAGATAGGATTTTTGACTTGTGGGGGCACCTGCTGTCCTAGAAAACTGACTTGGGGAAAGCAGCAGATTGAGGGACCCGGATGCCTTTCCTGGACATAGGCAGCTTCCTCCCCTCCTTGGACAGTCCAGTGTGGCTCAGCCTGCTTTTCCACTTGGCTGCCACCTTTCGGAATAACACACCCACCCATTCTCAGTAACAAGCCATACTACCCTGCGCAGACGCATCACGAATGAGCCCTTTCAGGGTTCCGTCCCTTTGGGGAATCCGATTAAATCTACAGTGTCTTCTCAGAAAAATACACATTACACATGGGATTTCTTGCCAGATATATTTTGGAGGGCTGCTTCAACCCTCTTGAATCCCCTTTACAGATAAAACCTTGGCTCTAATTCCTACTCTGCGACGACGGGAAAACACGGCGGGAGAGGACTGGGAGCTGTCCAAGGTCACAGGCAGACACCCGAGCCCAGCGCCCCGGGAAACGCCGGAGGGGTCCTGGACGGCACCCACCCCCGGGCCCCGCCCTCGCTCACGCCCACCGGGCAGGCTGCAGGTAGGGGGTGCCTGGAACCGCCGCGGCGACCGCCCCCGCCTCGTTTTGGGTCGCCTCACCCGGGGCCGGTTGCCGGTATCCAGCTCGATGGCCCCGTTGGCCAGCTTCATGGCACACTGCAGCGGCTTCACCGCGCCGTCCCCGGCCGCAGCGGCCATGGCGCCGGGCAGGGGAGGCTGTGGCTGCGGCGGCGGCAGCGGCGGCGGCGGCT